TTGCATGAACGAACTGATAAAATCAAATGACACTTGGCATAGATATTGTGTGATTGAGACCCTTTAAACTTATCCACATATACTGGGGGAGTTCTTTAACTGCACCATACATTCCCCTCTTTGTACCACGAATAGGCTAGAACCCTATATGGGGGACCTTAGTGATTGTATGTGTTTAGTGCTATTAACTAAATTAGTTTTTTCAAAACATTTCAAATAAAGGTAGATTTAGCGTTGATATGATTAAGTACATTTGAAGGTTTATAATTGTAGGTATTTTAAATGATATTCAGCTATTATTAATTNGTAATCCTAAAATGTAGCATCGTACTACAGATGGCGCTCACCACGACATTTGTAGTATTTTCTAAAACGCGCTGTTAAGACAGCAGGTAAAGGTTGGTCTGTGTTCTGTCGGAGCTGCCTACGACGCGCTGATGAGATCCAAAAAGATCGAAATCGCGATCCGCGTCTGGCAGTTTCGACAGAATACAGACCACTTCGAATTATTATTAATTTTACTCGAAATGTTCAGGTTTTTTAAATCCAACACATTTTACAAGTTTATATGTTTTATTATGTTTAGACAGTCTATTCAAATTCTTTTCGTCTCTGTTTGGTCAAGTTTTATCACTCTTTCAGAAATATATATTGTTTGGCCAGAGGAATGGAGACAATTCATAATATTGCAATTGGGGTTTTCTGATCATCTAATTGTAGCAATCTCATTGTCAACCCTTTGTTGTATTCTTAGAACTTGTTGGCTGTTGATAATTGCTCTCTACACCCTTTCGTCTATGACGACATTCAGAAATCTTCTACTATTTTCCACCACCATACAATATATCAATTATGCTCAATCCCTTGTTATTTGTTGGTTGTAGGTAAATTTTAAACAGTTAGTATGTGATATTAAAAACATCAAATTAAATTCGTTACTAGTTTTACTTGAAAACATTCTATTAGAACGGAAGTTAAAGAACGCAATTTCCGAGTGGTCTCTAGATAATTTTTTAACTCACGAGTGTACAGCATGTATATATACATTTTATAGTGAGTGTTTTATAAGCAAGGTGGTTAGCTCATTCTGGATTTGCTTTTAGGTAGATGGGATAAATGGGAGCCGTGAGGATACCTAATCTATTTAAAATTTTTGATACCCACGTGATTGGGTATTGTTCGAATATGTATTTACTTTTTTATAAGCAAAAATGAGTTCTTTTCATTCGCTCTCAGTTAGATAATGATAATGAAGAAAATAAAGGGAACGCAGAATACCGTCAACGAAAACGAGAAAACGGAAACTTGATGGGGCCCTTTTTCAATCAAAAAGAAAAAGCAAATTTAAAATGAAACAAGAAGAAAATGTGTAGCTAAAACGATACGATCTGAAACTTGGTTTCGTCTTTATTGTCACAAATTGAACTCGGGGTGTAGGAACTGAGCTGAGCCGTTCAATTTCTTCTCGCCTGAGGAAGTTTTTTCACTCGGGTAGGTACGAATTTGCATGCATATCATTTCCGGCGATTTAAGCTGTCGGTATGCGAAGGCGTGGCGCTGAGCCTAGGTAGGTGTATATTTTATGTATGTACAAAGCTAAAGCTCTTTTCGGGCAAGTAACATTTTTTTTATTAAATTGCACAATTGCATTGAATATGTTACTGTCCTACTTTTATACATGTCAGAGAGTAAAGGGAAGTTATACCTAGCCGTTTGTAACATTTATTTTGTAGAATTTGTGGGTTATTTAAGAGTGTGCTTATTGATAAGTAAAATCTGGCAATATGGAGTCATTAAACTATACAAAAGTGATAGGAATAGTGGCTCGCGACATTTCCGTAAGCTGAACGAGTGGGTTGGGTTTTGCTATTGGTCAAAGAATTGCCTTTTTTGCTTCTTAATTTATATAGTTTAGTACTCTATTTAACCCACCTATTTTATAGTAGATCACGATTATAGTTTACGCGGGAATCATGGCCGGTGAGATGACTGTTATGTACTTTTATGTTCTTTTATGTTTAATGTAATAAATGTAAATACTTGTTTCGCCCTCAAAGATTGTATAAACTGTTTAAAACCCAACTACAATACATATATTTCGGATCTAAAGGTTGTGGTAGGAAAAGACAACAAACACGAAGTAAGTGTGATAATCTGAATGGCAATTCTTTTATTGTCATGTTATAATTAAATTCGTAGTGAGTATATATATGTATATATTGCGTACTCTGTTCTCCTATTGTTTCTAATATTTCTTTCATTTCTAACCTTCTCTATCCACGATATCCTCATCACCGTCCCTGTTTCGCACTCGTATAGCGTCGGGCTCCAAGCATACACCTTTAAAAATCTTTTTCGAATTTCTAAATTGACCGTTCGCGAGCATAGAAGTAAATTCCACTTATTGAAGACGACTGGACCCTACGTTATCCCCTGCTTTATATCCCTACTACTCCTTCTATCCTGACTTATTTGACTTCTTAAATACCGCAAATCAGCCACTTCTTCTAATTTTTCCTCTCCTATCTTTATATTTGCTCTTTCCCTTGCATACCAGTATTTTTGTTTTACTTTTATTTATTTTCATACCGCCTCCATTTTATTTAAAGCTATTTCTAACTCCTCCTTGTATCCCTACATTTTTAAGTATTTTCTTGTCCTATTTAACATTCTCAAAAGCTTTTTCTAAATCTACGAATCCTACGTACACGCTCACTTCTTTTTCTATCGTTTTCTCTATTATTACCCGTAAATCTAGAATGACTTCCCGAGTACTTCTTTTAAACCCAAACCGCCTTTTTTTTCCGCGGAAAATCATTTAAATAATAATAAAGATGAGTGTTTTCTCAGTGTCCCAAGTCATAATTCCCAAAAATGCAAAGAACACCTGGACCTGCGATAAATAAATTTTTATTATTATTAATAAAACGATGGTGAGACAAACGAGGCAATTATGCAGAAATGCTGTCTACATCAAATCAAATTCTCTTTGAAAGTACCGAGTCGAAACGAATAGAGTCCGAACTGCCTCGTCCACGCTAGACGTGTTCGTTCTGTCCCGTCTTGGCTCGAACGCGTTCGTGCTCAAAGGTACACGCACCTTTAAGTGTTGCAATATGTTGCAATAGTAACTCCACAATTATTGTTTCGGGTGGTTAGTGCTTTCTTATCTCTCAAGAACACTCAGTAATTAGTTAGAAAAAGAATTAATTCCGTGTTTATGAACATATACTTTTCGTGTTATTGAACGAACTTCTAGTTTTGTCAATTGTCCATTGAATCACGGATCTCTGTGGTTTGATCGATCCCATCCTGCGTTAACTGCTATCCCAAGGTAAATATATATGAATGAGGTGAACATGTATACGTAATTTTCAAAAGAAAATCAATGATTAGACGGGAAAATCCTCGCCTACCATTCCACCGGCCTATACTTTTTTGTTTTTTACATGCACACGAAATTTACCTAAACTAATTCGCTGCCCTTATGTAAATAATAATAAGTGGGGGTGTGTTTAAACTTTTGCAACAGGTAATACCATGGGAGCGGTGGATATTTAACTGCAGCGTTTTAAAATAGCTATCATTTTTTGATGGCTTATCAATGCTTTTAGGTATTATAGAAGCGGTGACCTTTCCAAATGACTTAATATTGCTCTAAATTTTACACGTTTGTACAGCAACTGGTTAGTTTATAGATAATAATTTCTTCACTCATACTTCTCAAAATTAAAATGCTTATATATAAGTAAGTAACTTGTTGCTGTTTTTATAAAAATAATTGTAATTTGTACATATAAATTTGCGTTAACTTGATGCAATTTTTGATTGGTTCCCGTTTATCTTATCCTCTATATCCAGTAATGGGTTTTACTGTATCTCGTTTTACATCAAGATTTAACATAATAAGATGGACACTATAGGGATCTGAGTGCCCGGTTTAGTCTAGTCAGCGTATTATCTGGTACTATAATTCAATCCCGTGTGGTATTAGACATGGGAGTAATTGCTTTTGGGAGCTGTTAAGCTACAATGGCTGGAATAGATATTCGTAACAGGCAGTTATATGACGTTTGTGTCCTTAATGATTCACTTCAATGAGAATTATGATCGAATAGATTGCAACGTAAACCAATATTCTTTGATATTAGTTCCGGTAATTTTATTCTAGTTTGTCGTAGAATAATCAACTCACACAATTAATCAACCTTAAACTCTTATTAGTGTTCTTCCAGAAGATATACAAATTTTTACTTAATTTGAAAAGGGAAAATTTTAAGGGAAGTCCCTTTAGAAAAATTTTAAAAGTTCTTAATAATCGAAGACAGTATCACATGATAGAGCAAGAGTATTTGTTAGAGACGAAAATAAATGTTTCAGAAAATTTTAAGCTATTACATCAATCCGAACATTATTATTTATTGTATTTTTTTACTCTCTATATATTTATAGTAGATTTAGTAAAAACCAGCGTCTAAAAACGGTGATTTTTATAATCTCCCTATTCCTTTATTTGAAAAAAAGTATTTTTAATACAATAATCACATATGCATAATGATTTGAAGGAATATCATAATATAAGTATTTGTAATCAATGAAATTTGTGTAATCTGTATATATAAAAATTAATTGCTGTTTGTTAGTCTCGCTAAAACTCGAGAACGGGTAGACCAATTTGGCTAATTTTGGTCTTGAATTATTTGTGGAAGTCCAGAGAAGGTTTAAAAGGTGAATAAATATGAAAGTTGTTAACTATCTTTCAGATTATTTTTATGTAGATTGATAAATCTGAACGCAACTATAATATTTGACATTTAACAACCAACTAATATGTCGATCCATCCTCTATGTATTATCGATTCCTTTTGTTTGTTTTAAATTTATTTTATACAAAAGTTTAGGTCTTTTATTTATCGATTGAAGCAGTACGAAGTCTGCCGTATCAACTAGTAGTAGATAAAATTTATAATTTACATTGTTTATAATATGAGTTTAATTACCTTGAACGCGGTCAGCCCTGGACTCTGCTGGTGCCACTGTTCCTCTACTTTCTAACACCGATGCTCTTAAAGGTCTCTCTCCTTCGATAGATTGTTCGTTGCTTTTCAAGTAAATTGTTGCTATGGTTGCCAAACACTTCAGTTTCATGTCGCCCTTCTTAAAATGCTTCTGCTTAACTACGAACTGAAGACCTAAAACTGATGTCTCTAGACCTTCTCGACCAGTCACTATTATGTGGGGTCCTGAAAAAGAAACCCATTGTTAATTTACAATAAAACTGCCCATTTAACTATTAAACTGGTAAAAGTTTAATGTGATATTTCTCAATAGATTTTGCGATCAATCGAAAAGGATTGGACTGCTTCATTCACCCCATTCATTTAATTGTATCCTACGATCAGCGTAATCAGTCTAACCTAAACAGTATTGGTAGTAATTGGAGGTATTTTTTTTGCATTATTCGTGTACCTCAGGCTCAATCTTTAACTTTAGGTAAACAGTGGATTGAATGTAGTATTATTATTAAAGTTGTGTTGTGTGCATCTTTTAGAAATCATAGCAAAGAACAGTTAGTATCAATTAAACGACCGGGCAAAACTGTGGTGATACGGCTCTGTGTATGAGGACAGTAAAATATGGCCAAACAATGACAAAACACAAAACACTGCACGATAGCAACATGAACAAAGACCGTAGTTATTCGTTATAGTTTATTATGCAACATTTGTGAAGATGAATGAAATGTCTTCTGCTTTGGGCGAAAATTGTCCATCATTAATGATAATAAAGCAATAGTACAAACAATTTAAAAGAGGTGATTATAGTAGATTCAGGAACTCTTGACTAAAATTTACCTTTTGAAGCCCTTTGAATATGGAAAATCACAGAATAATGGGAACATCATGACAGATGAGATGTGGCTGTACTATTATAATGTGACAATAAAATCCTAGAAGAAAGTGTGACTTTTGGAAAATGAGGATACCAAGGTGTATATCCGAAAATCTTGCTCCAATAAAAAAACACTGATGATTTCCATACGGAAATGGGGTCTAATAGAGACTAGTGCATGTACACAGGAATGTTTGCGAAAAGTTATTGATGCACTAAAGAAAAAATACGGTCACAGTCTAGACTTGACACGTGATTTCATCCAACGCAAATGGAACAACGACGATTTTCTTGATAAAATCTCATTTGAATCTTCTAGACCATCCTCCGTACAGTCCATATCTAGTACCTATCGTGTAACTTCGGTCTCTTTTCGGAGGTACAAAAACCTTTAAAAGGACGATTTTTTCCACCGATGAGGAACTATGACAGCATGGAATCAAGAGTGTGCTAATCTCCCAGAAGAAAAGTGGCGGAATTGGTTTTTGATGATTGATTAAAAAAGTGTATCGACTGTGGTGGAGAGTACTTTGATAGATTGTGAATAAATAGTATCGAGGACAAAACTTTTCGAGCTTTCCCTATATATTATTCCATAAACAGATTCAAAATTATCTTTGGATTCCACTATACATTTGAAACCGTATCTAGAGATTTCCGAAAGGTGGAGAAAGACCCGCAGTGCAATAATGGGAGGTATCTGGTATGCTTGTTAAGCAGATCCAGATATATGGATAATGAGAAAGAAAATAACCTCGAGCAAAGTAAATTTAGCGGTTTGGCTGTATCCATAGGAGATTCACCTCACGTTCGTTATAATTTTCCTGAGCTTATTCGTATTCAAAGCTGCACGAGACGAATTTCACATTTTCACCTTATGTGAATGATAAGAATCCGTAAAGAAACGGGCTGAATGCCTCCACTGCTAGATATCGAGTTAAACGACATTATGGAACTAAAGGTAAATTAGGAATGCAAATCGGTTAAATAATAACGTTGCGCCATCAAAATAGAGTGATCTAAAGCTTATAGAGCAAATAAAACCCGAATTGAAAACGTAAGTCTGCACCTCTAATGCTCTGATTACGATTATCTTTAAAATTTTACAGTATATCTCCAAAGTTCATTATGTGGCGTATGTGCCACTGGAATGCATTATCTATTTGGCAAAACAAATGAACATATGAATATCTAATTGTGTTTGTGTACAACTGATTTTTGAAAGATGCGCTTGTTCAAATCGTGGTTAAAAAATCGAAGGTATCTAGTACATATTCTAACAGGAAAAAAAAATATTTTTACAAATGGGAATTTCAAAAAAGCTTGGTGAAGCTCGTTTGTGATTGATACATCCGTCAATAACTAAACTAACAAATCACTTTTTTATTTTAATTTTCAATATTTATCGTGATGTATGGCATAATTTTTATTGTATATGGGGTGTTTAAGACTTGAGCACTGATTGCAAGACATCTACTGTATGACAAAGATAAAATAACCTATGGGATACTATTATGAGTATATATTAATAGTAGATATCCATATATTTAAATGGACCTTGTTGNCTAACATGTGGTACAATTTGGTACATATTTTGTTGTAAAATAAAATCCCACCATAAATTTTTCTCTATTATAACGACATCATCTGCGTATAATTAGTCAGCAACTATAGTAATTTACGTTGAGAAATCTTTAACTATTTAGCAAAAGGTGAGATATTAGTTTGTGGTTTCCTACAACCAAACATATTTTTTGTATCCTCTAACTAGCTTTTATTTTATTAGAATAATAACATTGCAGAAGGGGAGAATTAGAAATTTTGTTAAGCAATTTCGAAAAATGTTATTCTTTTGTTGAAATCTTCCTTGTTCATAAAAAGTTATACAAAATTCAAAAAATTAAAACTGGCAATAAAACGAACACTACAGCCGTATTTGGGAAATCCTTTAGTTAAATTGTTAGTCATAATTGTGCATTGTGAAATAATTTAAGTGTTTGGTATAATTTATGTATTATTGAAAATGTTTTTTTATTTCAAGATTTAAACGTTTGGATGGTTTATGTAATCTATCAAAAAATAATATTATTACTGACTCACCTTTCAAGAGGGATTGATCGGCGGCTTCTCCGTTTATGAACCAGTTAAGAAGGGCCGCTGGTTTAGACCTTCCGGATGTACAATTAACTTTTACGGTATCCCCAATCTGATATCTAGGTTTCCCACCCGTAATTCGGGGACCTTCTTCTGGAAGAGCTGTAAACAATTATTAAAAAATTAGTAATTATGATTAGGTATGCCTGGTATGGGAATGTTTGTCTCAATATTGATACGAAAAGAGGAGGTAAAAAATCTATATCTAAGCAGGACCAGTTTAATGCGAATTAAAGGTAAACAGCGATTTGTATAACTTCTGTCACCGTGCTCAAGACGCGTGGGGGAAAAATAAGCTTTTGATCATAAGAATGAACAAACGAAAAATATATTAAAATAAATTAATGGCAAAGAAGTGACACATGAAATAATAAAAAAAATTTAACTTGTATTATACTGATGTTTAATGTAAAAGATGGCAGTTTTTGTATTTGTAACTATTCATGTTGGAGATGAAACAGTTAGGTCATTCACCTTCAAGAAAATAAATCCAATAAATTTAATAGGAAAGTGCTGTAAATTGCTTGAGTTAATGTTCAGTTTATTTGATACAGGCAAAAGATTTTATNGTAAAAGATGGCAGTTTTTGTATTTGTAACTATTCATGTTGGAGATGAAACAGTTAGGTCATTCACCTTCAAGAAAATAAATCCAATAAATTTAATAGGAAAGTGCTGTAAATTGCTTGAGTTAATGTTCAGTTTATTTGATACAGGCAAAAGATTTTATCAACTGTTTCGGTAACTTTCATCTTCTACAAAGTCACTTTCTATTATAAGTTTCTGGAAAGTTTCCTCTATTGGGATTTCGTGAGAAAATGGTATTATTTATGTATAGGTATGTTGCTATAGGGGTTAGATTCTCAATATGAGCAGTTGGGTATATTCTTTTTTTACTGCGAAACTCATATTTTCATTAGGAACGTAAAATGTTCTTGCTTAAATGCTTTTATTACTTATCCTTTGTTGCATAAAAAGAGTTTCGAGAAAAAGTATCATTTTTCTTTACACTCTGTAATCTAAGAAATTATCTGATCTAACAGATTATAGAATGTGTAGGTGTTAGGTAACTATAGATGATTCACGACGAAAAAATTAGCACAGAGAGTGTAATTTGTCTTGAGGCATTCGAAAATACATGAAAACTTGGTCTTCGAATCGACTCAATTTGCGGCATAATTAGTGAAACTCGTTTATTTTTTCATCTATTTTATCAGCCACTTAGTGCGAAAAAGTAGTTATTCTCGTCAGAGGAACAGTTAGACATGTTAAATTGAAAACATCGAAAGAAAACACAAATTTAAGAAAAGACGAGTTGGAAAAATCACACAAACGCTCTTGATAACGACTGTTTTCATACTGGTTCGTTTCCATCTGACTATAATCCGCGCGAACAATCCGCTTTCTGATAGACAGAACCCTTATTTTTGTAGTCGCTTTTCACAAATAATGTTACATCTTAACAAAAGACTTAGGGGTAATAAATTTACCTGGAGATAGATAAGCTAAAACTCAATATTAAACATTATTATGAAATTAACTTTCTATTCTCTCTATTCTATTTGATTATCTCAAATTAAAAAGGAAAAATTGTTGCTGTCACGCCCTCGCCGAGAATTGAACCCATGTCACTGGTTTTACGTACTAGTACTCTAGCACTAAGTTACAAGAGGTGACAGCAGCAGCAACACCAACGACACGTACACCTATTCGAGAATTATTCGCACATATTTTTAAATTAAAACTGTTTTCATGTAAAAGATCAAATTTGATAGCATAAAAACCCTTGGCAGAAAAATTAAATAGGTATCTTAAGCTTAACTTCTCATCCGTCAAAAATCTTAATTAGAATTGTACAGAGGAGGATGGAAAAAAGGAAGAAGAAATAGAGGAACGCGGGAGGCCATTCTAGCTTTACGGGTAACAATAGAGAAAACGACAGAAAAAGGAAAGAGTGCGTACATAGGATTTGTAGATTTAGAGAAAGCTTTTGACAATGTTAAATGGGACAAGATGTTAAATATACTTAAAAATGTAGGGATGAATTACAAAGATAGAAGAGTGATACTTAGTTTGTATAAAGAGCAACAGGCAGTTATAGAGCTGGGGATGCAACGTAGAGAAGTAAATATTAGGAAGGGAGTCAGGCAGGGATGCACACTGTCACCGCTACTTTTTAATCTATACATCGAAGACGCCATCAACATCATTAAAGACAGTACAACTGTAGGGATAGATGTGCAAGGGCAAAAGATTAGTATGCTTAGATTTGCAGATGATATAGCAGTATTAGCATCTAGCAAGGAGGACCTAGAGATAGCTTTAAATAAAATGGAAGCGGTACTGACAGATCAGTACTGTATGAAAATAAATAAAAGTAAAACTAAAATACTGATATGCAAGGGAAGAAAAAGTAGGGAAAGAGCGAATATAAAGATAGGAGACGAAAAATTAGAAGAAGTGGCTGATTTTAGATACCTAGGAAGTCAGATAAGTGAGGATGGAAGGAGTAGTAGGGATATAAAGCAGAGGATAGCGCAGGGTCGTGTCGCCTTTAATAAAAAGAAGTCACTTCTATGCTCGCGAACGGTTAATTTAGAAATTCGAAAAAGGTTGTTAAAGGTGTATGTTTGGAGCACGGCGTTGTACGGGTGCGAAACATGGACAGTGGGAGCGGCGGAAAAGAAAAGGTTAGAAGCGTTCGAAATGTGGTGTTATAGGCGGATGATGAGGATATCGTGGGTAGAAAAGGTTAGAAATGAAGAGGTATTGGAAAGAATAGGAGAACAGAGGACTCTATGGAAGTCAATAAAAAATAGGCGAGATAGGTTGGTAGGACACCTTCTCAGGCATGAAGGTCTAGTCAGAGACATATTAGAGGCAGAAACAGGAGTTAGGAGGGGTAGAGGTAGACCTAGATTAGATTACTGTTCGCAAATAGTTAAGGATGTGGGTTGTTCTAGTTTTAGGGAAATGCGAAGTTTAGCTCAGGATTAGGTCTGACGACCGTATGATGATGATGATCTTAAGATTCATTTTAATTTTAAGATATTGACGAGTGCCGAACCAGTTCGAGCTTTAGGAAAGGTCATTGCCCTCATGTTTATGTATACCATTGAGTGGTGCGAGATGGTTCATTCTATTTCTTTTTCATGTACCTTCTTGTCCCTTAATTTTTCCGGATTACTGGCCAGATATAGTGACCGTTAAGCCATAATTTCTCTTAAATATTAATTTTTATTTCCGGAGACGCTGGTATCTGTTGCAAATACTGCAGGATGGATGACGCGGTCCTAAACCAACGCATTTGTCTAGAAGTGTGGTACTTATTTCCCAACCATCGAACACAATCAATTTCTACGTCATTTTGTCATTTTCTCATCTCAACGTCTAACCAGCAGTAACACGTTCGGAAAGCTTGTTTCGTTAGGTGTCTAGTAGAAAATTAGATATCGGGTTTCGTTAACAAAAACGGGAAACGAAAGAATATGAGCAAATGGTGCGGGAATGTGAGATGTGCGGAATTGCTTGTTTCCTAGCATTCTTTGGATCTAATACGTCACATCCGCAAGGCGAGCTCAATTTTCTTAAGTGTAATTACTAGAACAGACGGTGGGCTGTTCGCGCAAAACTGATCGCGACAAGCAGCCATTACCACCCGCCTACCCTTTCATTTCCTTGCAACACTACGCATCCTTTTTTCAACCCCAATTTCGCAGTCGCCCGCAGAGAAATTTAACGCGATCTCTCCTATTCAACTTTTTTTTTATTTTCTCTCTTTCTCCTCTGCATCATTTGCTGTCCTCTAACGACTGCCGTTACGTATAAATTTCAATTAGAAATTATTATAATGTAAATTTCGTTTCATCCTTTTTCTGTTTGCTCCACTCTGATTTATGTTGTTAATAAACAAAACAAAAATAAAAAGCGGCCTCAGTGGAACACAGATATCTGGATAATTTTTTTAAGGTTGGGTCTGCAGGAAGAGATTAATTTTTCTTATGATAGTTGAGTTCCTACGTTTTTCTGCCATTTGTTAGTTAGTTAGTAGCTTCCACTTTCACATAACAGCGTGAAATTCACAAACATAAGTTACAAGAGAATAGATTCATGAATGCATTGAGGTGAAGTTCAATAATAATTTAACAATTGTAAATTGAATTTACTACCATTTTCTAAAAGTCCAAATCTTATAACAGGTCAATTGAAAAGTCCCCGGCCTAAAATAGTAAAACACATTTTTTTTGCAAAATTCGTTTTTTTTATTCAACATAATTCCCTTCAAGGGTGATACACTGATTATAGCGATCCTCCACTTTTCGATACCATTTTTGTAGTACGATTTGTCCTTTGCTTCAAAATAGGCCTCAGTTTCGGCGATCACCTCTTCATTCGACGAAAATTTTTTCCCAACGAGCATTCTTTTGAGATCTGAGAACAGGAAGTAGTCGCTGGGGGCCAGATCTGGAGAATACGGTGGATGCGGAAGCAATTCGAAGCCCAATTCATGAATTTTTGCCATCGTTTTCACTGACTTGTGAGACGGTGCATTGTCTTGGTGAAGCAGGACTTTCTTTTTCTGCAAATGCGGTCGTTTCTCGGCGATTTCGTCCTTCAAACGGTCCAATAACGCTATGTAATAGTCGCTGTTGATGGTCCTTCCTTTTTCAAGGTAGTCAATGAAAATTATTCCACGCGCATCCCAAAATACAGACGCCATAACCTTGCCAGCCGACTGTTGCGTTTTTGCACGCTTTGGAGCGGGTTCATCGTGTGCAGTCCACTCCGATGACTGTCGATTGGACTTCGGAGTGAAATGATGGAGCCATGTTTCATCCATTGTCACATATCGACGCAAAAACTCGGGTTTATTACGCGTGATCATCTTCAAACACTGCTCTGAATCATCAACTCGTCGTTGTTTTTGGTCAAAAGTGAGCTCGCGCGGCACCCACTTTGCACAGAGCTTTCTCATACCCAAATATTCGTGAATGATGTGATGTATACGTTCCGTTGATATCTGTAGAGTGTCTGCTATTTCATTCAATTTCAATTTACGGTCATTCAAAATCATTTTGTGGATTTTTTTAATGTTTTCGTCCG